AAAAAAAAAACGACAGTGTTACCCTTTCGTTTTTTTTTTTCGGGCGAAAAAATTAAGTTTCTCCAATCTTCTCAAAACTCTGGATTCTGATAGAGGGCTGTGTGACTTTGACCTGAGTGCAAAAATGGAGGCTCTAGCCCTTCCAGAGCTGAGATATCGAAATTCAAAATTTCGACTCGAAAAAAAAAACGACAGTGTTACCCCTTTCGTTTTTTTTTTCGTTTTGGCCGAAAAATTAAGTTTCTCCAATCTTCTCAAAACTCTGGATTCTGATAGAGGGCTGTGAGAATTTGACCTGAGTGCAAAAATGGAGGCTCTAGACCTTCCAGAGCTGAGATATCGAAATTCAAAATTTCGACCCGAAAAAAAAAACGACAGTGTTACCCCTTTCGTTTTTTTTCATTTTTGGGCGAAAAATTAAGTTTCTCCAATCTTCTCAAAACTCTGGATTATGATAGAGGGCTGTGAGACTTTGACCTGAGTGCAAAAATGGAGGCTCTAGACCCTTCCAGAGCTGAGATATCAAAATTCGAAATTTCGACCCGAAAAAAAAAAACGACAGTGTTACCCCTTTCGTTTTTTTTCGATTTCGGCCGAAAAATTAAGTTTCTCCAATCTTCTCAAAACTCTGGATTATGATAGAGGGCTGTGAGACTTTGACCTGAGTGCAAAAATGGAGGCTCTAGACCCTTCCAGAGCTGAGATATCGAAATTTTAAATTTCAACCCGAGAAAAAAAAAAAAACGACAGTGTTACCCCTTTCGTTTTTTTTCGTTTTTGGCCGAAAAATTAAGTTTCTCCAATCTTCTCAAAACTCTGGATTATGATAGAGGGCTGTGAGACTTTGACCTGAGTGCAAAAATGGAGGCTCTAGAGCCTTGCAGAGCTGAGATATCGAAACTCAAAATTTCGACCCGAAAAAAAAACGACAGTGTTACCCCTTTCGTTTTTTTCGTTTTTGGGCGAAAAATTAAGTTTCTCCAATCTTCTCAAAACTCTGGATTCTGATAGAGGGCTGTGAGACTTTGACCTGAGTGCAAAAATGGAGGCTCTAGACCCTTCCAGAGCTGAGATATCAAACTTCAAAATTTCGACCCGAAAAAAAAAAATGACAGTGTTACCCCTTTCGTTTTTTTTTTTTCATTTTTGGGCGAAAAATTAAGTTTCTCCAATCTTCTCAAAACTCTGGATTCTGATAGAGGGCCGTGAGACTTTGACCTGAGTGCAAAAATGGAGGCTCTAGACCCTTCCAGAGCTGAGATATCGAAACTCGAAAATTAGACCCGAAAAAAAAAACCCCGACAGTGGTACCCCTTTTTGTTTTTTTTTTCGGGCGAAAAATTAAGTTTCTCCAATCTTTTCAAAACTCTGGATTCTGATAGAGGACCATGAGACTTTAACCTGAGTGCAAAAATGGAGGCTCTAGACCCTTCCAGAGCTGAGATATCGAAACTCAAAAATTCGACCCGAAAAAAAAAAACGACAGTGGTACCCCTTTCGTTTTTTTTTTTCGGGCGAAAAATTTAGTTTCTCCAATCTTCTCAAAACTCTGGATTCTAATAGAGGGCCATGAGACTTTAACCTGAGTGCAAAAATGGAGGCTCTAGACCCTTCCAGAGCTGAGATATCGAAACTCAAAAATTCGACCCGAAAAAAAAAAACGACAGTGGTACCCCTTTCGTTTTTTTTTTCGGGCGAAAAATTAAGTTTCTCCAATCATCTCAAAACTCTGGATTCTGATAGAGGGCCATGAGACTTAAACCTGAGTGCAAAAATGGAGGCTCTAGACCCTTCCAGAGCTGAGATATCGAAACTCAAATATTCGACCCGAAAAAAAAACGACAGTGGTACCCCTTTCGTTTTTTTTTTCGGGCGAAAAATTAAGTTTCTTCAATCTTCTCAAAACTCTGGATTCTGATAAAGGGCCATGAGACTTTAACCTGAGTGTGAAAATGGAGGCTCTAGACCATTCCAGAGCTGAGATATCGAAACTCAAAAATTTCGACCCAAAAAAAAAAAAAAACGACAGTGGTACCCCTTTCGTTTTTTTTTTTTTTCGGGCGAAAAATTAAGTTTCTCCAATCTTCTCAAAACTCTGGATTCTGATAGAGGGCCATGAGACTTTAACCTGAGTGCAAAAATGGAGGCTCTAGACCCTTCCAGAGCTGAGATATCGAAACTCAAAAATTCGACCCGAAAAAAAAAAAAAACGACAGTGGTACCCCTTTCGTTTTTTTTTTCGGGCGAAAAATTTAGTTTCTCCAATCTTCTCAAAACTCTGGATTCTGATAGAGGGCCATGAGACTTAAACCTGAGTGCAAAAATGGAGGCTCTAGACCCTTCCAGAGCTGAGATATCGAAACTCAAAAATTCGACCCGAAAAAAAACCGACAGTGGTACCCCTTTCGTTTTTTTTTCGGGCGAAAAATTAAGTTTCTTCAATCTTCTCAAAACTCTGGATTCTGATAAAGGGCCATTAGACTTTAACCTGATTGTGAAAATGGAGGCTCTAGACCCTTCCAGAGCTGAGATATCGAAACTCAAAAATTTCGACCCGAAAAAAAAAAACGACAGTGGTACCCCTTTCGTTTTTTTTGGGGGGCGAAAAATTAAGTTTCTCCAATCTTCTCAAAACTCTGGATTCTGATAGAGGGCCATGAGACTTAAACCTGAGTGCAAAAATGGAGGCTCTAGACCCTTCCAGAGCTGAGATATCGAAACTCAAAAATTCGACCCGAAAAAAAAAACGACAGTGGTACCCCTTTCGTTTTTTTTTCCGGGCGAAAAATTAAGTTTCTCCAATCTTCTCAAAACTCTGGATTCTGATAGAGGGCCATGGGACTTTAACCTGAGTGCAAAAATGGAGGCTCTAGACCCTTCCAGAGCTGAGATATCGAAACTCAAAAATTCGACCCGAAAAAAAAAAAAACGACAGTGGTACCCTTTTCGTTTTTTTTTTTTTTCGGGCGAAAAATTAAGTTTCTTCAATCTTCTCAAAACTCTGGATTCTGATAAAGGGCCATGAGACTTTAACCTGAGTGTGAAAATGGAGGCTCTAGACCCTTCCAGAGCTGAGATATCGAAACTCAAAAATTCATCCCGAAAAAAAAAAACGACAGTGGTACCCCTTTCAATTTTTTTTTTCGGGCGAAAAATTAAGTTTCTCCAATCTTCTCAAAACTCTGGATTCTGATAGAGGGCCATGAGACTTTAACCTGAGTGCAAAAATGGAGGCTCTAGACCCTTCCAGAGCTGAGATATCGAAACTCAAAAATTCGACCCGAAAAAAAAAAAAATCGACAGTGGTGCCCCTTTCGTTTTTTTTTTTTTCGGGCGAAAAATTAAGTTTCTCCAATCTTCTCAAAACTCTGGATTCTGATAGAAGGCCATGAGACTTAGACCTGAGTGCAAAATGGAGTCTCAAGACCCCAAGACCCTAAATTACTGGACTAACTGGACTAATATTACTACTTAAATTTTAAAATTGGTCGTGTTTATGAATATCTTTATGAAAATGAGAGTATGTGGAAAACTGTTATTTGATTTACTTTTTTTAAGCTGTATACATTTCATTTTTAATACATCATGAATTGTTATTGTATTATATTACTTCTGTCATTTGTCTAAGTATAAAATGACCACTGTTCCCTAATCTGAAAAGGGCCTCTAATAATATAGCTGTCAACATCCAGTTCTTGGCAAATGTTTCCTGAAAAGTTTACATTAGTTTGTTAGAGTGCTGTTTCAGCCATTGGTTTATATAAGATTGCAGACTGTAATCTGCATGTACCATTGAGGCCCGGGGTCATTTCTGCTTGCTTTGATTTCAGAGTACTGCTTTAAATGCTTATAATCCTAGGATTTTTCTGCCATTAAGTGATGGCTTTCTGAAGGGGGGTTTTGATGTTGGCGCATGTGTGCACATACTAACACAAATGCTGAGTGATAGAGCCTTTAATCCATTCATATTTTCACTTGGAGCGAAGCGGTACAGACATGTAATCATGTTGGGGAAACTTCTGTATGTGCTTTTATCAGCTGTCAGAGCAGGAGAACCTTTACTGAACATGCTTGGCAAGTAGGTAGTTTTGGGGCTAATGTTGACAATTTGTGATCATTGAACATTTATGATGTTATCAAGAGAAGATGGACACATTTTATTTCACATCAAGATGTTTGAAATGTCTTAGTAGAAATGTTGAAGTTAATTTGCAAAATATTTAATGTTATCTTAAAAATCCACAGCTGAGAGAAACCAGTGATGCGCTCCATCTTTATTGTTGGTAAGTCCCTGATTTCTGCTGTGTTATGTTCCCTGGTGTCATCGCTTTGGTGTATTTCTTCAGTTCTTCAGTTCAAGCTTTGCTGAAATACAGTATCTCTACTTGCATGAATTTAAGGGAACAAATAAGAGCTAGTGTATTTGTGTAATCTCTAATCTGTCCTTTCTTAATCACCATAATTTCAATGTGCAGATCAGATGCAGGACAGAGGGAGGTCACACATTAAATTATTCCGCCAGTCTCTGACTGTGCTCTCTGTAATCTTAAAACCACACTCATTTACAAAGTGATTGCTTATGCTGCATGACTAGCGTTTTGTTTCTGTATAATTATCATAATAAAGTCCTCGAAGTTCCCTGAAAGTTAATTTTAAAGGCTTTTTTGTGTCACATTAATGCCAGCATTTCTCTGCAGTTTAGTAAGTACAAACCTGTAGTGTGGTATCCATCAATGTGGCTGTTTACAGTTCAGTGAGATGCAAGTTAAGGATTAATTCTAAAAATATGAATTAAAATAAAAAGATTTCAAAAAGTTAAGAAATTCTATATAAAGGCTTCATTCTGTAACCAAACTATTTATTCAGTAAAATGAGATGGTTTGACTTTCATTTCTGTGTTTTGTTTATTTATAATTTAGTTGTTTTTTTTTATCTAAAAAGAATGCTTGATTTTTTATTTGTCATTTAAAAAAATTGTTTAAAATACAAAAAAAGTTGGAAAGTATTTCCTAGGTCAAAGTTTAGAATCGGTTAAAGTTTAAGAGTAAGAGGCAGCTAATCAATTGACCACATGACAATTTTCCAAACACTTTGAAAAAGCTATTAATTTACAATTGAATGTGTATATATTTTTTTCTTTGTTTAATGTTATTGGTTGTACATTAATCAGTATTTCTGTGATTTTTTTTTATTAATTAATAATTTTTTTTTATTTTATGACCCACATATGCAATGTGATACGGATATTTAGTTTAATTGTTTCAGAACATGACCTTCAGGGACGTACATAATAGAGAATTTGTCTAATTACATATTGTGGTAAAATGGCACCCTCTAACTAACACATCTCCTTTCCCTTCTCTCCAGTGTATTTCCTCCTCCTTCCCCCTCACGCCCTGTCCCTGTGGGCCTGCACTCGCTCCTGCCCACCCAGTTGCACGTGTACTCAGGAGAAGAGCTGCAGCGTCCTGTGCGACCACGTCAACATGATGGACCTGCCCAAAGAGTTCCCATGCGAGGCGTCCTCCATCAACCTGGACAAGAACAGCCTAAAGTTTCTGTCCGAGCGAGCCTTTGGAACCCTGCCTTCACTTAAGAAACTCTCTCTTGACCACAACAACATCTCCTTCATCACGCCTGGAGCATTTAAAGGGCTGCCCAACCTGGTGGAGCTCAAGATGGCCCACAACGAGTACATCCGATACCTGCACACTCGCACCTTCACGGGACTCAAACGCTTGGTGCGCTTGGACATTTCCGACTGTAACCTGTTCAACATGCCAGACCGGATCTTCCTGGAGCAAATCACCCTGAAAGAACTGCTGTGTTTCCAAAACAACTTCCGACGCATCACTGGTGCCCTCCGAGGGATGGAAAACCTCACGCACGTTTACTTGGAGCGCAACAAGATCGAAGCGGTGGCCTACAACTCTTTGCTGGGCCTGAGCAACCTCAAGTACCTCAACTTACAGGAGAATCGCATAAACGTGATACATGACGAGGCCTTCAAAGATCTAGTGCGTCTGGAGAACTTCTACCTGAACGATAATCTGTTGGTCGACTTGCCACAGCAGGCTTTCAAGGGCCTGAGCAACTTAAAAATGTTGAATCTGGGTGGGAACCTGATAACCAACATCTCCAGAACATGGTTCAGTGACCTGGTGCAGCTGGAGGTCTTGTACCTGGATCGAAACCGCCTGTCCTATATCGAGGACGGCTCCTTTGAGAACCTGACGAGCCTCATCACGCTGCACCTCAACAGCAACAATCTGACGTCTCTGCCCTTCTCCGTCTTCCAGCCCATCTATTTAATCGGCCGCCTGTATCTCTTTCGAAACCCCTGGGAGTGCACCTGCGACCTGGAGTGGTTGAAGGAGTGGATGGAGAGCTATAAGTTGGTGAGGGACATCCCATGTGCATCCCCGTCCTCAGTAGCCGGCTTGGACCTGAGCGAAGTTGTCTACATCCACCTGAATGGCACCTGTCTGGATCCTCCAGAGCTCAACCTGACCACATCTCTTCCGGACTACCCTACCATGGAGAACAAGTTCAACAGCCTCATCTCCAAGCTGCTACAGCAGGAAGTGATGGATGAGATGGTCAACGCCACGGACGGTTTGAGGAACGGCACCCAACAGGACCCCGCCGAGAGTCAGGTTTCTTCTGGACATGGATTGTTCAGTGCTGCTCAGACTGTGTTTTTTCTTGTGTTTCTTTTTCAAGCCCAGATTGCCTGCGTTAACGCCTCTTGAGAGTCTGAGGAATTCTGAAAGGGGTTGAAGCGCATTCAAGAGTGGAAGTATTTTCCCAGTAGCTGAATGGGAAATGTTTGGATTTAAGGCTGTGATAAAACATTTGAGCAGTGCGTTAAAAATTATATTTGGCTGATGTAATAGAGTTGGAGATCATCGTCTCTTTAAATGAATGGAAACTAGTTTGAAAGGACCAGTCAAGGACCTTGAATTGTGTTAAGCCAATGAGACTGCAAGAGACTTTTTGTACAAATTAAAGGCGAGACCTGCAACTAGTGGCACAAACGTTTTTGTGTCCTTTTTTATCTCAATTTGATTTAAAACACATCTTTATAATGCATTTATATATGAATACGTTTATACGTTCTGTTGCGTAACTTTGAAACATTTGTTTTGTAGGAGATTTATCTGATAAAGCTTCTCACTATCTTTTCACCAGATGGCATAACACACTGTCCTCTTTTGTTTGGTTCATTAAACTGGGTAAGTTTCCAGTTCTGGAAAATGCATTAGTCTTCCTCTTCCATAAAGCTTAAGTGCACTCTGTAACATAAGCTGCTTCATATTGTAACCAAATGAATTGGCTTTATCATGCTCGTTTTACTGTTATGAACATATTTTCTATATATGGAAAGGAATACGCATTGGATGATGCAGGAATCATGAGTTTCTGAGCGGTGCATGCGATTTCTAAAGAACCCTTTTAATTTACCTGAATTTTGTTCATTTGTGATTAATGCTTTGAATAAACAAAGATCATTGCAAATGACTAGTAACTAAAATGACAAAGCATAATTTTATCTGAGGAGAGTTGTTGTCTATTTAAATTAGTCATTTTTTTCCTGCTAAAACTGACCAAATACACTAGAGAAATGCATTGTCGGATAATTTTTGTTTAGTTCACCATTTCTGCCTTTTACTGAAAAAAAAAAATGTGCAATTCAAAATTTGGCTCTGGTTTCATATTCCATTGTTTTCATTGAATTAAAAATATTTGTGTAAGATTTTGAATGACCGCTAAAATGATTTAAAACACATCCCTCGCTTTATGGCACATCAGTGTATCATTCAGGGTTCAGGTGAACAGTGTGGCTCTATCATTCATTCATTCATTGGAGTACACTTCATCTGGTTATGGCAGAAACTGAAGTGAAGAAAGCAGTTCATGATATTACAGCCCAAACCTGCTAGAGGAAGGTGAAGCCAAGTGCCCTTCAGTTGTGCATCCTGGGATTAGAATGTGAATAAATCCTGCTTTATTTCTGACAGTTTGTAAGTTGCACTCACTTGAATCACCGTACCAAAATACACTACCATTCAAAAGTTTGGAGTCAGTGAGATTTTCTTTTAAAGAAATGAATGTTTTTGTTCAGCAAGGATGCATTGAATTGATCAAGTGACTTGTCACAAAAGATTTTTACTTAAAATAAATGCTATTCTTTTGAACTTTCCATTCATTAAATAATCCTGAAAAACAAAACCCCACTGTTTCCACAAAATATTACGCACAACCATTTTCATCATTGATGAATGAATGATTTCTGAAGGAAGACTGAAGACTGGAGTAATGGCTGCTGAAAATTTAGCTTTGCTATCACAGGAATTAAAGGGATATTTTACCCAAAAATGAAGTTTTATTAAAGAGATTGGTCACCTGACAATAAAAAGTCATCATTTACTCATCCTCAGGTTGTTCCAAACCTGTATGCATGTCTTTCTTCTGCTGAACACAGAAGATATTTTGAAGGATATGGGTGACAAGACACCATTAGTTTCCATATTTTGTTTCTATACCATGGAAGTCAATGGCGGCCCACAATGGTTTAGTTACAAACATTCTTCAAAATATCTAATTTTGTGTTCAACAGAAAAAAAGAAATTCATAAAAGTTTGGAACAACTTGACCATGAGTAAATGATGACAGAATTTTCATTTTCAGGTGACCAATCTCTTTAATAAAACTGCATTTGTGACTCACAAAGCATAAGAGACTTCTTGGAAAACAATACAAATCTTAACCCCAAACATTGGAAGGGTAGTGTATATTAAGACTTAAAAATTCATGCCTAAACTTTACACATGTAGCAACCAGCTCTCGGTTTCAATTAAACAGAAAGATGTCAGAAAACCAGTATCAAAGCAAACACTCGCGGACACATAACTGGGGATTGATCCCGACTGCAGTCACACAGAGTCAAGCGGGAAGGGCGTGACCTACCACAGCTGCTGGGAAAAATCCAGAAAAACAAAATGGTAAAAGAGGAACAAAGTTTCCATTGGCCCCATCTCTGCCAACTCACACAGAGAGGCCGGCCAAAAAACTGGATGAGACAACAGAGCAGAGGACACAGATGAGATCTTCACCACATTAAAGGAAATATATTTAAAAAACCAAACAAAAGACGCTCACGCCGAAGAGCTGTTCCGTCATCGGCAGAGCCATTTATACAGGGCAGTTTGAGTAAACAGTTTGTCATGTACAGAACCATTCAGATGAACAGACAGAGTCGTCTTTTTGCTTTGCATGGACGCACCTCTTCCTGAAACAACTTCACAGAATAAAAATGGGATTTCTGAGTCAACATTAATGTTCTCAAACGACACATTTCTGAAATGCCAGAACATTTTTATCCCCAACCCCTTTATCTTACAACAAATAAAAATTTAGACCATTTACAAACACATTTTACTACATGATTGGTAAAAATAAACTTTACAAAGTTGCCAAAATGCAAGGGATGTGCATAGGTCTTTTTTCCCCCCCTCCTCGTCACCAGCTCCACCTGTTTGAATATGTTCGTCCAGACGAATGGAATGTTTTCTGCCGTGGGTGACGGTCTGAACACAGCTAACACTGACGGCATGGACGCTCGTGAATGTTCACATGCATGAGATCTCATTCAAATCTCTAAAACATTTATGCAAGTCTTTAGAGAGACAGTATCCACGTGTAGAGGAGGGTGAACTGGGAAAAACAAATGGAAAAAAAAGGTTTGGTTTTAAATGAACGCTGAATCGGTGGGTTGTGCACTAAAGCAGCTAGGGTCTGCCACATGGATAATGTGGGGATTATGTATTAATGGACGGGCTGGACAGATGAAAGCTATGAGGATTCTGCTGTAGTAATGCTGCACCTTTTCTCTGGTACTAACAGAAATGGGTAGAAAAACTACAAAAATATTCCTTTTAGGAAAATGCATCATGTAGGATACTGTCTCTTTAAATAAAACGTCTACAAAATGTCGCCTCCTAGCTATATAGACATGACAATATTTAGTAATTTATTTTATTGTTCTTTTTTCAGTAATACAACACTACATCTAGGTAGTCTGTCTGTGAGGGGCCAAGACTAGGCTCACTGCAGGTACACTGATGTTTGTGAACATCAGAGGTGAGCTTTTGTTTGCATCATGGGAAAGATCGGAAGTTTTCTTTTCTTTTTTCTTGCAGAGATTCACTGCAAAGTATGAAGGGCATAAGGTTACAGGTTGATGGGTTTGCTGATTTAGTAGACCCAAGACACTGGAACCCACTGGGCTGTGGTGCAAACCAGGTCTATGGCTTCCTCCAGGAGCCGAATAGTCTCGTCAATCTCATTATTGATGATGGTTTGGTCAAAATAGTGTGCATATGTCTTCTGGAGGATTTCAGACTCCTTCTGCAGCCTCTGTAATGACTCGTCCTGCAGCATGAAAGAAAAAGTGAGTAAAAAAGCAGATGAAAGGTCAAAAAAGGGACTTTTGAAAGATCAGTGGAGGACAATGGATGAATTTGGACTGTTTACCCTATTAAGAACATGTCATTGATGATCCCAAAGGTATTTGCAGGACTATAAACAGACAATGGGAGAGTTGGGAAGGATTGTACTAGTGTATACACAATAGTGTTCAGAAGTTTGGGGCCTGTCATTTATTTGATCAAAATAAAGTGTCACATGATCCTTCAGAAATTATTCATGTATGCTGATTCTGTGCTCATGTAACATTTATTATAATTATTATCAATTTTGTGCTGCTCAATATTTTTGTGAAAACATTATAATATTTTTTTTAATTCATCCTTGTTGAATAAAACTATTATTTAAAAAAAACCCCTCCAAACTTTTGAACAGTAGTGTGCAGATCTAAAGTAGAACACTTAAATGTGGACAAGGGTTTTCTTAAAAATTGTCATCTGTCAAATTGACCTTTGTTCTAAAGGTCATGAATAGAGTGGATTTTTTGGGCTAGAGCTTAGCGATTTAGCTGACTTCCTGTCATACTCACAGGCAGCTTCCTGCACCATCTGGGAAGCTGAGCGTAATGTAAGGAAAGGTAGAAGAAATGTAAAAAAAAAACATGCAAAAATGTGCATGCAAAAAACAAACAAAAAAAACAACAACAACAACAACAACAACAAAAAACAGACTAAATAAAGATTTAGATGAATGAAAGAAGGTAGAAAAGTTAGGTGGCGTTATTCTGCCAGTGAGAGAGACGCATGCCATGGCATATGTTTTGGATCCTGATCTCACCTCATTCATGCCAGGAGTGATTGTTGGTGCAGCAATGAAAACCACATAGGGAGCAAATTCAGCTGTCCGTAAAACCTTCAGTGCCTGAGAATGATCAAACACAGTACAATATGTACTACAGTTTTATGCTCCAATCATTTGTGTCAATGTATTCCAAATAAGATTATAAACTCACTAAATTAAAGATGAAATCAAACCAGTTTTCAATTATCACAATATCACAGTTTTACATCGTTTCAATACTTTACTCAATACTCAATAAACGGTTTTAGCAGATGTTGTTAGTTTTGCCATGTAACTTAATTTAAAGGAGCTGTATGTAAGAAATTTATTTCAAATAATCATAAAATGGCCCTGAAATGTCACTAGACATTAAGAAATCATGTTCGTTTCAAATACTTACATCACTGACAACAGTAGTCCGGCCAGGATATTGTCATTTAAAAAGTGAAGTTGCAGCCCTCAACTGTCATGTTGTGTTTTGGTCTGATGCTCCAACCTGGTCTCATCCCAAGACGTCATATAACTGACGTTTTGGGACGTCTTTTGACCATACGTCAATATTTGCCTTTTTAGGGCCCCCTTAAACGTCGGTAGATGAGGTTATGGGATCCTAACTCTACCCCAGACCTAAACCTAACCCTAAACCTAACCCGTCACCTAACTGACGTTAAAGGTAAAGCGTCAGTTGTATGACGGCCCGGGATCGCCATCTACCGACGTTTAAGGGGGGCCTAAAAAGGCGGATATTGACGTATGGTCAAAAGACGTCCCAAGACGTCAGTTATATGACTTTTTGGGATGAGACGGTGTTAGATGCTCCACCCTCCACTGATCTACCAATCACAAAGTCAGTAGTGTTGCAGCACTGCTCTAGTTACCACAGCTGCAGTTACAAACGTGTGGGATACAAAAATGTTGGTTCCTGCAGCCTACCTGGCAACCTTGAGTCAGGGGGCAGGGGATACACAGCACTACAGTAATTTGAAAGTGATTGCAGTACCATTTTTGGCCACAATCTTACATACAGCTCCTTTAATAAGGAATACTTTTGTAACTGGGAAACAATTCATATGTGTCTCAATGTTCCCTTTCCATTTGCCTTTTGTAAAGTTGCAGTTCTCTGAAAGGAGCGACATCATTTTTAGTATGTAAAAAACAACATAAACATGAATTCTATTTGACTTCACAGTTTTATGGTATGTCGGGTTGTCTCAAGCTAAAACATTCCATACTGTTTGACAATCTGGAAATTACTATGAAAATATCAAAACAAATCTATGAAACAAATCAATTTTAAAATTGACTGTCATGTAAGATAACTCAATTCCTCACAAAGCAATGGCTAACTAATCTTAGGTCTTTATTTCCATCATATTAGTTCTCATTCTTTGTTTGTATTTATAATAAATAAAGTTCAAGTGCTTCAGCTTAACCAGAGCATATTTCCGAAAGTCTTTAAAGCTATTTGATTTAAAGGTGCTGCATCACACTAATGACCTAATGACGTACAATGTTAATGTCAGACCATCTTCTGTCATTAATACACGCTGAGGGCATTGAAATGTTTACCTGTGGCTCTACGTCCAGTATGGCTATGAGTCCCTGCTCGTGGATCTTCCGTATCGTCTCCAACCGAGTGCCGTACATTGCATCCTCATGGCTCCCGTACTCCAGGTAATCGTTGTTGGAGATATCCTGCATCATTTGGTCGTGGGATACAAAGAAATAATTCTTGCCGTTCTCTTCTTCTTTCTTTGGAGGTCTGGTCGTGTCTTTTGGGGCAGAGATGAGTTTGCGGTTATCAGTTCAGCAGTATCGGTGTGCAATCATGTGGACTGTTAGAGATTTGGGGAAGTTTCTTACGTGGAATGGGGTAAGCAAATCTGTCTGGGTGTTTGGTGATGAGCGTGTTTTTGATGTGTCTTCGCCCAACACCGTGGGCACCTGCCAGTTGAACAAACCACAAACGTCAGAGACACATACTTCCTACCAACAAACAAAAGTAAGTTGTGGAAATAAAGCCTATATACACACCTAGTAAAACTAACGTTTTCCTCTTGAACGCTGGCAACTTCACGACTTCCTCATAAGTGACCAGATCTAGTTGATCAAACACTAACAGAACACAAACAGAAGACCGTTATTTAATAAGGGCGAAGGATTGATCTTAAATTTCCAAAATTGTATGTCATTGTCATTAGACTCCAACAAACCAGCTGTTCTAAAGTAAAAACAACAACAACATCAAATGTTGAATCTTACATAAGAAAAGAAGGATGTTTTGGGGGGTAATGTTATTGGTGTTTGTTCTATATGAGGATTCTGCATGTGTTTTGGGCAGTATATGTAATGTTGTAGGCCTGATGGGGGATTTGATACTGTGCCTGACTGACATTCAATCTCCACTGTAGCAGATTGGCTTCATCAAAAACCAGGCTGAGAGTAAACATCCCAGCCACTCACACCTAGCATTACATATTCAAACTTTCACCGATGTAAAACCTGGAGACCTTCATTTTTCTATATTTCGTACTTTATTTAGATTACCAGTGCAGTCATCTAATGCTCAAAGTTAAAGTTCATCTTTAAAAACACAAATTTAATGGAATAAATGCAAATCTCTAAATGAATATCCATTATTGACTGTTGCAAGATTTACACTACCATTCAAAAGTTTGGGGTCAGTAAGGCTGGGTAATGTTTGTCTTAATGTAAAAGACAAGGTAATGTTTTTGAAAGAAGTCTCTTATGCGGTTATACTATTGCATTCCTACAACTCAAACCTAGAGCATGGCGCTAGCAACGGCAAGGTCATGGGTTTGATTCCCATGAACCTGAATCCAATGCAATTCGCTTTGAAGAAAAGTGTCTGCCAAATGCACACATGTAATGTAAATGTGTAAATGCACCAAGGATGCATTTATTTGATCAAAAGTACAGTAAAACTAATTAAAATAAGTGTTTGAATACGTACATCTTAAAATGTAATTTATTCCTAATTTATTCATTTTAAGTCTTCAGTCTTCAGAAACATTTCTGATTATCAATGTTGAAAACAAGATGCATTTTCTTTTTCTGGGATTCTTAGATGTATAAACAGTTCAAATGACCAGCAAATGAACTTCAGCAGCATTGTGTCTTTACTGAAACTTTCAATCAATTGAATGTGTCCTTGCTGAATAAAAGTATTAATACTATTAGCCTACTGACCCCAAACTTTACAATTTTAACATCGGTAAATTCTTATATGCGTGTCCAAATGAGATTTATGAGTTACAACAGAGTCAATGTTTATCAGCTTGATTTCAGTCATCACACAAAGCCCTGACTTTAGTACAATTGTTGCATGGACTAATTCTATGGTGCTTTTTGGTCACTGTATGCTTGTTGAATGGAAAAAATAGGAGAAAAAAAAACCCTGATAGTTATCTTCTTTTGTGTTCCAAGGCAAAAAAAAAAAAAGAAAAAAAAGCTATACAGGTCTGGAACGATGTGACGGAGAGTAAACTATTACATTAACAAAAATGCTACATATGACTGCACTGAAGGACAAAGTCTCAAAGCTATTGTGAACCTCTACAAAGCTTTACCAGTAAGCCTTTTCTACCAGTGTTAAGGTTGCATGATGAGTAAAACTGGCATCAATGTGCATGCAGGGGGTGTTGAGGAGATATCATGCATGTGTGCAGGAGACAGTGTGTTGACTTGGCTGTGGGAAACGTGAACCATCTGTGTCATTTCCACATGAAATGTGATTCCAGCACTCATTTCCCTCTCTAAATAGACACCTTAAATGATTCATACTCCTTTTTCACATGATCTTGAGTATGCAGCTCTATGTGTGTAGGATGCTTAATGGATTTGCACACAGAGAAAAGCCTCGTCATGTGGATCAGTGAATATAGATGCACAGGGTTGAGAGAATACAGAATTAACAGGAAACTAAAAACAAACCTTGAGTACCACAAACATTCAAACACACAATGGGCTATATGCACGCATAAGTTCCGCATTTGACGTAAGGATGCTCGTCCATTTCCGGTTGTGTAGATTAAAGCGGAGGAAAACCGGAGAAAACGGGATTATGGCAGAGTCTTCAATATTTACTGTCCTCCCGTCTTTGAAACGAAACGTACATACGTTTAGATGTAATTTTATATATAGTTATGTTTATTTAATATAATTTTAAAAAGAAGCATAAACACAACGAGGGGTGTCTGTTTTATCTGTTTTTGTGACTAACGTTTCATTAGTATAACCATGGAGTATAAAATTCAATATAAATTCTCGGTATTGCATTGGACTCTATGATCGGCGGAAGTTATCGAGCATCCTTAATCCTTCACCGGAAATAACGCCGTGCATAGAGCCCATTAAAAATATCTTTGTTTTTATGATTGAGAAAAAATGGAATTTGCTAACAGGCATACATGTATTCGGGGTTAATAAGATCATCACAGCAAAGGTGTTGAGTGAGACAGAGACAGATAGAGAAAGAGAATTAAGCAGAAAGGCTGTATGCCACAGCAACACAGTTACTTACATGCACAGATGCCATTGGTAGATAGACAGCATGTAAAATGGACAGGGGAGGGGGGTCATTTGAGTTATGGCTCAATTAACATCAGTAAACAAATACAACAACAAGCACGCTTAAAGCTGTGATGTCTGAAGCACAGAGACATGATGACCATCCGTGAGCTCGAGTGTGTGATCACGGCTCTGAACAATGAAACATGCCTCTGACATTCACAGCAATGCGCTTGCATACCAAGGGTGGAATCTGAAAGCTGCAATTAAAGTGTGGTATTAAAAGGTTTTTGTGATCATCTGCTAAGTATTATAATTCGCAGTCACCATATGAATAACGTTCTATTGCAGTAACGCTATGCATCATGACATACATAACATAATCATGCTGTAATGCCTGTTCTTGGATAATCCAGTAAATTAAAAAAAATATATTTTCAATTTTTTATGAATTTGACAGACACAAACCAACAGATGAGATTATTCATCATAAAATATACTGATAGTTACTCAAATATATACACAGATGAGCCAAAACATTATGACCACCAGCCTAATATGCTGTTGGCCCTCCTGTGGTATCTGGCACCAAAAAGTTAGCAGCAGCAGCAGGTCCTTCAAGTCCTTGGTTTGTGAGGTGGAGTACATCCCACAGATGATCAATTAGATTGATATGTAAGGAATTCTTGAACCTTGAACTCAAATCATGTTCCTCAAACCATTCCTGAACAATGTGTGCAGTGTGGTAGGGTGTATTATCCTGCTGAAAGAGGCCACTTCCACCAGGGAACACCACTGTCATGAAGAGGTGTATCTGGTCTGCAACCATGTTTAGGTAGGTGGCACATGTCCACATGACTGTCTGGATTTTCAGGGTTTTCTAACAGAACATTTCCTACAGCATCACACTCCTTCCACCGACTTGTCATTTTCCCATAGTGCATCCTGGTGGCCCCAGGCAAACAGCCATCCACGTGACGTAAAAGAAAACGGCACTCGTTGGCAAAACCTTCTGGACCATAGCCTTTGTTGTCCTTGTGCATCGATGTGCATTGGACGCCCAAAGCCCTTGCCGGTTTGTGGTTTGTCCATCCATGGACCACTGTTGGTACATTCTCACAACTACTGACTGGAAGCAATCCACATGCCTTGCTGTTTCAGAGATACTCTAACCCAGTCTCCTTGCCATAACAATTTGGCCCTTGTCAAAGTCAATTCCTGCCCATTTCTCCAGCATTCAACACGTTGATTACGAGAACTGGTTGTTTGCTTGGAGATCAACGATATTCGCTTTACCTTTGACTGGTCATAATGCTTTGGCTCATCAGTGTATACTGTGGTAAAAACAGTAAAGCAAAATCTATAGTGGCTCACAGATTTCTAGCATTGCTGTGTATCATTACCCTATATGGTTGCTAAGTGGTTTTTTTAATGTTCAAAGCTAGGTGGTTTCTTCAATGTTTCTGTACATACATTAACATTCAAAAGTTTTGGGTCCGTACAATTAAAAAAAAGAAGTTTTTTGAAGATGTCTCTTAGATGCACCAAGAAAGCATTTATTTCATCCAAAAGTAATGTTTTATGTACCCTTGAATGTCAGGTACTGGTTCCTTTTACAGTACAGTACTTACAGTGTACTTACAGTGTACTTACCTAGAAAGGACTGGCTAATATAAGGTAAGTATATGGAACAGGGGTAGGTTTAGGGGTAGGTTCAGGGTTAGTACTAGTTATTACCTAGTAATTGTAGTTACTAAAATAAATACATAGTATTTACATGGGTAACTGGACTGTAAAAGGAAGCGTTACCGAATGTCAAAGCTGTTTTATCTCTGAGAATATTTGAACCCTTTCTGTAAGAAATTTGATTGGCGGATTCAAATAAAGAAATCAAATGTGTGTGTGTGTGTGTGTGTGTGTGTAAAACATTAGATTTAGAAAACATTTAAAGTATTAAACTGGGAAAACTGAATTTTCATCAATCATTACTTCAGTCTTCAGTGTAACATGATCCTTCAGAAATCATTCCAATATGCTGATGTGGTGCACAAGAAAACATTTCTTATTATTATCAATGCTAAAAACTTGTGTGCTATTTAACGTTTTTGCAGAAACCGTGATACAAAACAAACCTTATTCAAAAAATAAAAATCTTACTGACCCCAAACTTTTGAACACAGGTAACAGCAGGTGATGCATGATGTTTAAGTGCCATTCATGTAAGAAAAACAAGCAGCTTTTTTTTACCATACAATGAAAAGAGGATTTAGACCATGTGTCGATACTGAAATAAATAGGATTGAACTTCCTGCATTTGAGATGCACAGATGCACTTCCTGGCTTGTCAAGATGTACATGTAAATAGAGGTCTATTTTCTTTATAAGCCTGTTGCTGCAATGCTGATTTGTTTTTGTCTCGAGTCTCCCAAATATGAAATTGTCCTTGTGAAGGACAAGTCCTTAACAACTGCTTCCTACTGGAAAATCCCCAAACATATGCTTCCTATTTCCTTTCCTAACCTGATCTGAACCTGCGCATTAAAGCTTGAAAAGCCCAAAGCACAACTCTAACAAAGTCATAATCAAAACCGTTTTAAACAATCGAAGAGGAATTTGTGACAAGACCTGAAAAAAAGTCTGTAATACTCCGAAGAGTCCCATTTCCTGCCCCTCTGGCTGAGTGAGCTCAACTCAGACTAAAGTGGGGCACTGGGCTCAGGAGGGATTATGTCTGATCTGCGCTCCCTGCCGCTGCTGGCTGAGGGTGTGTGTGCTGAACATAGCCTTTTTGATCACCTAAGTGATTGGGTGCTCAGATAACTTTGTGATTCCAGCAGCCCAGATATGATCAGATCTACCATCAGGCCTCCTAAGAGCAAAAACACTTTATGCAAGTATGCAAATGCAGATTCAAATGCTTGGCCAACACATTCCTGACATACTGTTGGCAGTTTTGACAACTTTAACCAACGTTCTCAGCATGACTTTATTCAACAAACCTGGGGGAAAAATTCTGTCGGATGGTATACAAAACAAGCCAATGGCAAAGAAATGCCATGGGTCTGCGGAATTTGCATAGCGTATCTCTTGGAATTTGCATTCGCGTAGCGTATCTCCGCCTTACCTCATGGGTATAAAGGAGGACGCGGGCAACAATGTTTCTTCACTGGTGAGTCGAGATTGAACTCAGGCGATCCCCATGGTACAGCGGAAAGTGGCAGGAAGACGTAATGTCTCAGTTACGGATGTGACCCTCGTTCCCTGAGTAGTGAACGGAGACGTTCAGTCTTCCTGCCACTTTCCGCTGCACCACAGGGATCCCTTTCGCTGTCACAACGAGTTCTGTCGGATGACGACTAATGAGAATACCAGTTTAATCACGCCACCTTCTCGGCTGTCTTCCAGTGTCCTGCGTAAATCTGAGATCCCTGTCGTGAAACTGGCATGGACGAAGGACTCTTCGTTAGCGCAGGAATACAAAGTGACACTGGGGAGCATATCCCATAGCTTAGAGGAAATATGCAATTATTGCCAGCCCAGAGGGGTGTGGTGGTGGGGTGGACTTAGAGAATACACATATGACATGAAGGAAACATATGGGGAACACTGGGTTGTCCAGCCGCAGGTGGAATATTTCAATCCCAGGGGTGGCAAGGTGGCTTGCTAAGGGAAAGACACATGCTCAGAGAGGCTTACAGTGGAAATACACATGTTGAGGTGGCTCAGAGGAGGGACCACGCACATGGGAGACACCTAGCCGACACGCAGACAACAGACACTTGCGCAGGCGTCAGGAGTGCCGGAGGAACTCAGGGCTTTCTGGGAAGCTCACCTGAGGAGAATATTGCACTTAAGCAAAGACGAGCAAGGCGAGCAAGCAAAGACACCTAAGCGGGTCCGGTACTGGTTGAAGTGAGTACATGAGAGTACTCTGGCTCCACTAAGAGTGGAGTGTCGCCCAGCTTGCAGCTCTGAAGATGTCTGTTAGTGAGGCGCCATGCGCTAGAGCCCAAGGGGATGCCACACTCCGGGTGGAGTGGGTAGTCACACCAAGGGGGCACGGTCGACCTTGCTGCTGGTGAGCCAAAACAATGGCGTCCACTATCCAGTGAGACAGCTTTTGCTTGGAGAGTGCCTTTTCCTTCAGCTTCCCACCATAACAGACACAGAGCTGGTCTGAGGTCCTGAAACACTGCATTCTATCTACATAGGCACAGAGAGCACGTACTGGACAGAGCAGTGCCAAAGCTAGGTCTCCTCCAGGGGCAGTGCTTGCCGGATCACCACCTGGTCCCGGAAGGGAGTGGTAGGAACCTTGGGTACATATCCAAGCCGGGGTCTCAGGATGAGAGTAGGCCGGCCCGAATTCCAGGCAGGTTTCGTCAACGGAGAATGCGTGCAGGTCCCCTCCCATCTTGGAGGCCAATGCAACCAGGAGCGCTGTCTTCATTGACAGGAACTTAACCTCCACTGATTGCAAAGGCTCAAAGGGAGCACTCTGCAGGGCAATTAGAACCACTGAGAAGTTCCAAGAGGGAACGAGAAGAGGGCAAGGAGGATTCAGTCTCCTAACTCCTCTCAGGAACCTGACGATCAGGTCGTGCTTCCTTACCTGACTGGCTGGGTCATGGTGTGCCGCAATAGTGGCAACATAGACTTTGAGGGTGGAGGGAGACATCTTTCGCTCCAACCCATTTTGAAGGAAGGAAATCACGACACTAATCGAACATCTCCGGGGGTCTTCTCGGTGAGAAGAGCACCAGTTGACGAAGAGTTTCCACTTCAACGCGCTCAAACCTGCCTCGTCCCGTCCAGGAGCCATACGCGGAGGCTCCAAAGATTGGGACGAGGGTGCCATAGGGTGCCCGGTCCCTGAGAAATGAGGGCCCTCCTTAGGGCAATCGGCCAAGGAGGCGCTATCGCGAGGAGTACAAGTTCGGAGAACCAGGTCCGGGTGGGCCAGTACGGCGCGACCAGAATGACCTGCTCCTCTTCCTTTCTGACCTTGCGCAGGGTCTGTGCAAGAGACTGGGGGTAACGCATATTTGCCAGCTGTGTGCCAGTGCATCAGTGCCGAACGTGCCCTTGGTCAGGGAATAATACAGGGCACAATGGGTCGAGTCGTGAGAGGCAAACAGATCTATCTGTGCGTCCCCGAACTTGTCCCAAATCAGCTGAACCGACTGGGGATGGAGTTGCCATTCTCCAGGGAGGGGCTGAAGCCGTGAGAGCTCGTCCGCTGCTCGGTTCAGGGCTCCGGGGATATACAGTAAATGGCATGAAGCGACCTCAGATGCTTCATATATTCCATATGAGGAGGTGGTGGGCGAGTTGCGACATGCGTCGGGAGCGTAGACCACCTTGACAGTTGATGTACACTACAGTGGTGGTACTGTCTGATCGGACTAGTACGTGTTGATTCTTGAGCACGGCCCGGAAGCGGCGCAGAGCAAGACGTACAGCCAGCAACTCGAGGCAACTGATGCGATAAAGGCAATAAATGCGTCAGTGTGCAAAGTCATTCGTTTCTTTTTAATGGTTGTGTACTAATCCACACTTTTAGGAAGCTCACCTTTGAACTATTCTACACCATCAGGGATATCTAGCATGTTCAAAGGAGGTAACCTGACCCTATTTTAGATAATATTACAGACTGAATTAGGACCTATATGACTTGCTTATACACTCAAAAAAATATTTAGGCCTAATACATAAGATTTATGTAATTCAATTGCATATAAATTTTCCATCCATTTGGATTACGTAAATTTAATGCAAACATATTAATAAACTTAATGTGATATATATTTGTAAGTGCTATATAAGTGAAACAAGTAAGAATTAGATTTATGCATATTTTTCAATAAATCCAATTTATTTTAAATGAATAAGAAACTGGTTTATGTATTATTATGTAATAAACCAAATTTAATTAAAATGCATCACATTTAAGTAATTTGTATAAATAAACCAAATTTGTTTTAAAAATATATTTATAAATTTGTATTTACTTATTCATCACCATTTCCCCTCCCCAAAATACAACAAAAAAGAATGGCCAGAATACTTAATTTCACATTTTTATTTTAAATAACAAGCTCAAATGGCAGTAAAAACGGAAGCTAGCAAAACAGCCCATGCTCACATACACTGTTGTGTGCAACCTCAACAAAAAAAGTACCTTCATGTTTACATGCCAATTAAGGTTAAATGCACTACTTTCGAATTTCTGTCTTTATTTTGCCACAATCACCTCACTGCACTAACAAATGCAAAGGATTTTAACAGACTGCAGACAGTACTTTTTCTCAAGAACTGTGGTTAAATAATTGCAAAGTTCAAATGAGATAACACGCTACGCGTGTTATAAAATGCTACGCTAACATGCTAACATTTTCACATTTTTTGACGTGCAATAATTTGGAACGATAAGGTGGTGGCAAGCAGAAAATGCCATAACACTCAGTGGTTTTACACGACCACACTTTTTACCCATGTTAGGAGTATAAGGTTCAACAGCAAAAAATAAAAAATAAATAAAAAACGAGAAGAAAAAGTGTAACAAGTCAAGTGGAACTGTAAATATCAGCCTCTCTTTCAATTACTCACTGAAGCATCTTAATTTTCAGTCCCTGAACTTTTGGCGACAGCTTAGTTGTATCCAGTTCCATCAGGATTTTCTGAAATGCTTCAAATGTGCACTTGAGGTCCTTTGGATAGTTTAAATTAAGGGCATAAATTAGTCCAAAAAGCATCACACATCCAAATGTGATGCTTGGCAGGTTTTGCAGAACTTCAACACCTTCAAGAACAACACCCACATCTGAAGGTTCTTCTTCAGGACCAGCGCCCTCCGCTCGAATGACATAGATGCCCATTGTTGTCTGTGCAATGAGAGACTCAGCATCTGCACTTTCAGAGTCCTGGGGGATAAACAAAGAACATAAGTCCCAATGTGTTCCAAGTTTTCCCCTTTTGTTTTGCAGCAGGCAGTTACTTACCTATTGATTCAGTCATGTAATAGAAATTATAATTGTACTGTGTTCCTCTTTTGCCATAAATATTAATTTCCCCATCTACACCAAATCTGAGATCAGTATACTTGACTTTGACTTGACTTGACAGACTTTATTGTCATTCATAATACCACAAGTGTATACAGAACGAAATTTCGTTTGCATAGGCCACAGTTTTTAGCAGTTT